CCCCCCCCGCCCATGCCCTCCCTCCCCTGCTCCTTCCCTCCGTTCATATAAGGCAATCTATCACGCCAACAGTTACCTCTATGTTTCTCTCTCGCCTCTCCTCTTTCTTCTCTGTTTCATCCCCCTCCCGCTGCTTCAGACTATAGACCGAACAAAGCTGCGAACTAGTAACTACTGCTCCGGACTCGCTAGTACGTACGTATGCCCCGCTCCATCTGCGCAGTTCTCAATGGATGGATCTTCATCCGTACTCCACTCGCTTCCCCGTACTTTCTTTCAGTCCTCTGCTTTCAGTGCTTCGATATGAACAACCCGCCCCCAACTGTCCATCACTCACCGAATCCACTCGTCTTTTAGAATCAAAAGCCATTTGCTTTTACTTCATACGTTGTGCGACCTGCTACTCTTTGTCTGACTCTCGTCTTAACTAGCGATTCGGAGACCAATCGGATCCTTGACGTCACCGCACCGCACTACAATCATGCCATACCTACGTTGATCCTGCCAAACGAAGAAGCTTACTCCCCTTATCTGCGACTGAAACCGCAATCTATCCTACCTTCTGAAACGACGTTACTCGACCCCTGGAATCTGTGTGATCTTTATCATCCTCGATAGTCATGTCCAGCGATCGGGCTGATTCTCCAACATCGACCTCTCCGCCTTCCCAGCGTCGCCTCTCTTTAAACCCGGCATCCTTTGGCGAATTCTTCTCGAAACCGAACAATTCCAACATGAATAATTCAACAAACAACTCTTCCTTTCCCAACCCTATCACGACGGCTGCCGCTGCCAATGCTCAGTCTGGCCGACGACGCATGTCTATAACTACACTGGGCCTCTCTGGTTCTCCAACCCAGCCCTCCCCCTTTGGCGCCTATGCGGGCCGTCGTGAGAGTCTCTCTAGTTCGGAGAGCTACGAAGACGCTGTGGACGATATCGAACATTCTCCTGCCAACAACCCAACGTCTCCTTTGGCTAGACGCGTCTCGTTCGGTGCACAGGCATTGAGAGACGTCCGTGGAGGAAGCGGTACTGGAAACGGTAGATATCCCTCTTCTGGATCGTCTCCTTCGGCGACGCGGCGTCATACTGCATCGTCGACTAGTTCCACTTTTTCAAGAGATAATCCTTCTTCTTTGTCTTCATCTTCATCTTCTGCTGCTGCAGGTACTAGCACTCAAAAGCTTAAGAATGAGAGATCTGACCAGTCTTGGCGACCTCTAGGCGAGGGTTTCAACTGGTCCGCCGCCCTCCGGACCAGAGCCGAACGGGCTCCCTCTGTCGGAGGTTCATATCCTGCCTCTTCGCATCTGCAACCATCCATGATGAACCCAAATGATCCGAGTGCTCATCAGCGCTCTGCTTCCATTGCCATCATGGAGCAACCCACCCGTGAGATTCCCAGGGAGCCGCGACAAAGCAAACCAGATTTCTTCCAGGAGAAGATCCTTCGAGCTGATTTCATGGATTAAGTCGTTGGATATGATAAGTCTATCTATCTTCGGGACGTTTGCATATTTTGAAACGCACGTTATCCATTACATCGCCACACACGAGAGCTAGTCGAAGGCTCTTTAGGGAGCGATTTTTCGTGCTAAATCCTCTTAAATTAGATTCCAGTGACATCGGCGAGTTCGTGCATCAGTCTCATTGTCGAAAATGGTGTTGTCCATTCCAAATATATGACAGCAATATTCTCTATTTGCGAACACAAGTTATTCACGAATATGAAGGCGCATGCCACTGGATTCGTGTGGTGGTCACCGGCAAAAGCCAGTATCAAGTATTCTCGCTGAAATTACGGAATAGGGCTCTCGTCATCATTGCATATGCACCTTATATATGGTCATTGTCCAACACTGGGAAAGGAGTTCATTGAAAATGTATTACTCATGATTTCTTTCGTCCTCGAAACGTCCTCGATCGGGCACAGAATCGTGTAGGCGCCGAGGTCATCTGGTGTCCCCTTTTTTTCGATCGACTTTTCTCAATGTCAGAAAACCCACTGTGACAAAAACACTGGAGTTGCGAGATGTATGAATGAATGGTGTATGGGTTGAGGTCATTTGCAATTCGTCCTTTCTTATTTTCAACTTTCAAATTCGGAATTGTAACATTTTACTACCCAGACTGGAACTTGGAATAAGGAATCTGTCATTTTATCAACCTCCTTGTATGCTTTGAATTCAAGTAACGAATCATGAATGGAAATTGGATCAACTGTATCCCATTCTACGAGGCGTATGGTCGTAAATATGAATCATGTGTGCTACTGTTATTAATTAAATGTCTATAAGCATATATAGAAAGAACAACATCATTCAAAAGGTGAGTTTGTAGGCCACCTCAATAAGGAATACCATTAGTCAACAACTGGAACTGATCGTAGCCCTTTGTCGAGATATTCAAGTAACTCTTGCGCGTCAATTCCCGCATATAATCCGCCGCTTCCCGCTCAGTCTTGTCAAGAACGAATCGATCACGGAAATTCTTGATGGTGTCTGGTTTGAAGCAGGGCAGACCACTATCAAGCATCATCGTGACGATCTGGATAAATTTCGTGGCGTGCGGCCGAGATGAAAGGAATGCTTTGACTGTGAGCGACTCAAACCATTGATAAGGCTGTGTTGTTGTTGGATCGTGGGAATGTGCCCCGGGTATTGGGAGACGGAGTGTCGAGGATCCCGATGGCGATGAGTTGGAACTATTAGATGAGGAGTTGTTAATACCGCCTGTGGAAATACCATTGGTTATGCTACCGTTGGTATTGCTGCCTGTAAGATGTGGCCCTCCGCCCATAACTGCTACCATCTCAGAGGTCAGTTTGAATGGTGCTCGCTCGAAGCGAACACCACCCGGCGCAATATCGAAGCAGAATCCAAAGTCGATATGAATAATGTGGCCTGCGTCGTCGACCATGATGTTGCCATTGTGTCGGTCTTTGAATTGAAGCAGGTATGAGATGACCGAATATGATGCCATACTCTTGACGAAATTGGTGCGCGCCTCCTGAAACCTGGTAGATTCTTCTCCACCGTATTTAGAGACAAAGTAGTCATATAGTCCATTGACTGCTTCGCGGCCAAGCATGTCCCGCGAGATTGAATTCGGCAGCACATCAATAACTCCACAACCCGGTGCAGTGGCTGTAACACGATATGGGAAAACCCAAACGTCTAGACCGACAGAATTGAATACGTTTCTGAACGCTGCTATCAATTGCAACGCCAAAACGTCTTGTCGACAGTCATCTCCGACCTTGAAAATTGCCGACTGCCAGACTTCGTATGTCTCTTGATCTTCCGATTTCTTCTCACCAAGTTGTGTCTTGCTTGTTACCCGGTTGCCTTCAAGCGCTTTCGTCTTTTGAATTCGGAACGTGGCCATGTATGGCGCCTTCGCATGACTTTGCAGCGGTTTTCCTGACTTCCGATCAATTCCGACAACTATACCGTCTGGATTGCTGGGCAGGTAAACTCCAACTTCCACTTTGATTTTGCGGAGCTCTTCCTCAATTTTCTGTTTCTTTTCGGGTTTGCTCTTCTTGATGTATGGACGTAATTTACCGGAAACGTCAGTAATTTCATTAAAGAAGGAGAATTCTCGCTCATAGAAATCACGTTCTTCTATAGAGAAGCTGGACACTAGCCTGTCCATTAATTTGTCCAGTGTAGGTTTGATCGAGTCCGGCTACTCAAAATTAGAAACATACTAGAAATTATCAGGGGGGACTGGTCTTGCGGATCAAAACATACAATTTGAGAGTCTTCATCTTTGTAGGCGTTTGCCTTCATGTTCCAAATCACCTGATGAGCGAACAACTGAGAAAGTTTGGCAGACTCATATATGTATCGTTCGACATAGCCCAGAGCATCGTAGCGCAAAGCCTGTACAAGTTGCGGGACGAAATAGAATCTGACATCAATAGAGTGACTTTCTAAAGCTCGCATGGCATACTGAAGTATGAATGGGTGGTTCCCGTAGGCTGGTAAGAAGTATGTAAGAGCTTCAGTAGGAGACACTGGACTCCAGTACAAAAGATACTTTGCAACATATCAGCTGCAGTTATGATGAAGCGGTGATTACTGAATACTAGCGACCATATCAACTTACTTTTAATTGATGGGTTACATCTGCCGGCAAAGAAGAGCCAAACATCATTTCCAGACTCTCCGGAACTTCCACAGCTTTCTCAGGATAAGTAAGGAGTAACCAACGCACTTCGTTGTGGATCTTCGGTGACGGAAATCGAGTACAGATCTGAATCGCTAAGCTTGCATTTTCGGCCCAAGCAGTGCGAAGCAGCTGATCAATGATAGCCTTCTCCTTTGGTTAATATTCAATATCAGCATATTCTTAGAAGAAAATGCTTACCTCAGATTGATTTTTACCTCCGAAGCCCGTTATATAGTGCTTCTTTTCTTGTTCTAGGGGGTACAGCCAAACCCTGAGGCGCATTCGTTCGTTCTCAATCAGGTGTTGTAAAAGTTCTTGTTTTCCTCGCAATGACTGACGACGGCCCACGTTAGATGAAAAAAAATTGGTAGTATACTTCAATGCATCTTCAACATCTTTCAGCACTTTGTCTTCGGCTTTTAGTTGAAGGCGATTACCGCCAAAGGACCATCTGCAAAATTTCTTTTGGTAAGCTTGTATAATTTTCAGTAAAAGTGCGATTACTAACCTTGGAGGATGTCTGAACCAGCTAAGAGCGGCTGATAATATCTGGTCTTTCAATTTCCACTTGTAGTTGCGGCTCTGCGTAGTCGAGTATTGAAGTATTCTCAAGCCTAGCAAGACGATATGGAAATGTACCTCCCGGGAAAGAGGGTGACCATTGGTACGCTGTAAGGCAACAAGTGTCCTGCTTATTGCTCGCGAGAAGATACGTTGCAAATGGGGGCTTGCCAACCGTATAGCATTGAAGTGACTTTCGAAGAACTGCAAAATGCGCAGATGAGGAGATAAAACGTCTTGGGCCCGTTGCTGCTCTTGGAGAAGTGCTGTCTTATCTGAAGGAAGTAGTTCTATAGCCGTGAAGAAAGGATCTGGGTGACTGCAACTGGTGAGTACGTATCTTCCAAATTTCGCAAGCAAAATTACTCGAACTCACTTGAAAGCAGGGTTGAAAATACCCTTCCTAGCTAGAGTAGTAGACTCCCAAGCGGATGCCACCTCCGCCAAGATTCTTGATTCAGTCTTTGGATTCTCATTGATAACACCTAGCCAGATTGACACGCCGAACTTAATTGACTCCTTAGTGAACAACCGAAACGGTATGTCAACAAGATAGTGAGCGATGGAGGGAAGGTCATCATCACTTCTACAAAGCAATGCTGCAGCCTTACGTAGTGCATCATGTAATTCGTGGCTAGACAGATCATAACCAGCAGAGACCCTGAGAGAAAGCTGCTTCAAGAGATTTTCGATCACTTCAATGTACCGCTCAAGGTAGGGATCAACCGTGCCATCTGCGACTTAAAATCATTAGTGGAGATTGATAATACTTATCGGGAAACCTACCCGTCTGGTCAATCTCCTTTCGTCTTCCATTCGCTTGGGAGAATTCGGAATATCTATATTCTTGACGAGTGGTATACTGAGCAATCAAATCAGAAGCACAGTTGACGTTGTCAGCCCCGTAGCTTTCAATGTGGCCTATAGAAGGTATTAGAACAACGGTTGATTCTCTTGTTATTGTTAACAAGACGTACTCAGTCGCGGGTCACTTTGAGGTATTTGGGATGCCACTTCAAGAGCAAATGAGCGTCCCAACGAAATGTGGCCATATGCACCATCGTCTTCGTACTCGGAGAGATATGTCTAGCATGGATTGTCAGTCAACGTAAGGCTTTCTGGAAAGTCAAAAACTTGGTACCTGTAAAAGACCTTTCACGTCCAACGGAGCGAGGTTGATGGCGACTAGCATCCAAGCTTTGGCGTGAGAATGGAATAAGTCCAGAGTTCGTTTTCTCGATTCGTGATTATCAGATAATTCAATTGTCACGTCGCCTTTCGTGAAAATCGACCTCCATCCGTATTCGTCCAGGTCATTCTCGAGGCAGGATGACCACATGATAGTAAGGAGGTCTAACAGAACGAAAAGCGGAGTTCTGTCACAAAGAACGGATGGGGACCGACTGATTATCTTGCTGGCGCAGTCCAGAGCCACTTCCTGAACCCGATGTATGCGATGACAGCCAGTAATGAAAATTCCCGCGAGCTGCTTGGATAGGTGTGGACTAGTAAAACGTTCGCCGGCGCCCGAGAGAGTCTTAGACAAATATATATCGATGACTTTGTCCGCAACAGCCTTCATGCATTTTCCCAGCTCAGATGAACTTAGTGTTGGATCCAAGAAATAGAGAAGAATCCTTGTACAATCTCCGGCCATAGCTCGAAGACTCTCTATCAACAAGCTCGCATTCAAGAAAATTATTTCCTGATAGCCGATGCGCTTGAGGCTAGACTCATGCTCTGGAAGTTCATTGCTGAGAAGCTTCCTCTGTTCAGCCAGCCGCTGGTGTCCCATGCCACGTCTCAAAATGATGTTGAGTTCAACATCACTTTCCAATATTTCGGTCCGATTCTCTGGAACCAGAGGAGGCGACTTCTCCGCAATAGCACATAGCTCATTCCTGAATTGCCGACCAATATCAGACTCAACTGAGATCCCATGCACGGCCATGTTGAACCAGGCATCGCGGAACAAAGCAGCTGTATCTTCGTCATATTGTGTAGGCTCGCTAACATCCTCTTCTTCACGCACATCATTCGTAACCAGAAGCGCAAGTGGCTTAAGATATGGAGTAATATCGTCAGGAGACAGAGTAATATCTTTATGTTTATCATGTCCAAGATCTGACACATCGCCTTTACTGACAATGCCTTCCAGCAAATGCACGAGATAAGTGGCTTTGTGAGAGGGACTGTGCCTCAGTGCCAGAGAGAGACGATTTCTTGCATTATGAACTGCGTCAGCGATGATACCGTGGTCCCTAAGCACAGCTTCTTGGTGGAGGCGGGTGTAGAATTTCAATAATAGCTGGAATTCTGAGTGCTTGTTGATCAATGCTAAGGTAGCAGTCTCCTGTATGATGCATGCATCGGCTATGATGCTAATTCTGCCGATTTTCTGTAGGAGCATGGATTGAGCAAGAGCTGCAATGTTCTCATCCTCACAGTTGACAGCGATTGTGACAATGGCATGAATAACGTTACGGTGCGTGACTGTAGAATCCTCCTCGCCATTATAAAAGAGAGAGACGACACTGTCGGCATTTGAATGATAGGCATCTACTGTAGGACTGGTTTCGAAGGTCTCAGCAGGGAGTTGCACTGGACGCTCAGCACCCGCCGCTATCGGGCTCAAGACGTTACCCAAGGAGTAGAGCGTGGTGATCACGAAATCTTGTGACAGAACTTCGAGGATTTTGGCGAGACACTTGGCTGCAACTGAGATAATCGATTGACTTGTGCCACCTTGCGTTATGAACTTCAGCAGGAGATAGCTTAGATTAGAAGCATTGGCAGGGAAAAGCTTCGCAGTACCGGCAATGACTTTGAGTGCCGTGGTTGCCAGATCAGAAGCTGCCATCTGACTCTGATCGGCTACAGTATCCTCAAGCCACGAAAGCAACATGTCAGTGTCGGCCAGTTCTTCGTTCAGGGTCATGCAATTCAGGAAAGCGACTAGGCATGAGGCCTTAACCGAAAAAGCAAGTTCCTGTTGCCACTGGGAGCCAATCTGCAGGTAATCCGCGCCGTCTTCAAGAAGTTGTATTTTGCCAGTCAAAACGACGACAAGGTGTTTGACCAGTGTAATTTCTTCAGCATCATTGAATGTCTTTGCCAATATTTTTCCATCTGCGTACTTCTCTAGGAATGATGCATCACTCGGAGCAGCGCACATTAGAACTGTAGTGATTGTGCAGGACTTGATAAATCGCGAGAAGCACTGTTGCAACAACATAGCTCCTATCGGCCGCCGTTGGGCGGCGTATCTTCGATTATATCTCTTCCAATCACGCGAGGTGGCATCGGTTGCAGTCGAATTGCGAATCTTCGAAGCTGCAGTCTCCACAGCCACGAGGAAGTCAACGGACAGTATGCTTCCTAAGCGCTCAACAATTGCGAGCTTCTCGGTTGCATTCCACAACTCGGTAGAGTGCGAGGCAGCTTCCAGAAGGCCGACCAACGAAAGGGCGGTGATCAAAATCTCGATTTGTCCAATGGTGCCATCGAAATCGGGTCGCTCAATTCCCCCTTTCACCATCCCCTTCACAGCCCGCGCGCAGTTATTTAGATATGCCATGATGGCGCCAGTGGCATGTTCGCGGACCGAGGCATCGTTCACACCCAGATTCAGGAGCCCCTTAGTCAATCCATGTGTGAGGGCCTCCCAAGGAGACGGCTTGATATCGTGCAAGAAAGGTGACGTTCGAAACTTTTGGCTGTAGGATTCTGTCAAGTGTCCGGCGAACTGCAAAGCGAGGTTTAGCATCTGGTCATGGCGAGTAACGTTTGACGAGGTCTTGGTCAGAGCAAGGATGATTTCAAGTTCCCGAAGTGCCTGTTGATACGCATTAGATTGAAAATATGCCACATCAGTGAGTCCACGAGCCAACGAACCATAGGAGCTCTTCCGTGTGCCTGAGAGAGCCCATCCCTGAAGCCACCCGATTTTGAACTTTGTGGCCTGCACTCGTTGATCAATCGGCTAACACTAGGTTTCGAGGAGCTTTCTTGGGAGCCCAAGGTATCCAGAAATGCGAGACGCTCGAATGCTTTGCGTCTGAGACCGGAGGTGAGACTACAAACCGCATATGAAAAAGGCTATCAGTATCTGTTCGGCCGGTAAGAGGGTTGTACTCACGCATCCATTCTGATAGTAGCAAGCTCCAAGACGGAGCAGATAAGTCTGTCTTGTCAAGATGCGGGCATCAGAGGGAGTTGTCAAGAGAAAGTGTCGAGGAAGGAGCAGACATGGAGCTCCGAGGCTAAACGACCCCCCATGGCACCTTCCGCGTCACCCCCAACAAGCTTGGGCCAAAGTTGGCAGGGAATTTGATTCTCTGTTGATTTTTCTTCATTTATTTATTTTTGTTATAATTTTATATTTAGATAATATTTATTCTCTATATGACAAATGCCCTAACAACATGGACCGTGGAACAAATATTGCTTCGCGTCCATGGGTATGATATCACAAGCCGCAGCTCTCCTATAGGTTGTTTATTTGTGTACAGCACTACGCATAGAAGAAGGCATGGAGGAAATAATGGATTTTTTGGTTGAAATCATTTGACCCCTCCACCCTTTCTTTGATCCCTTGGAAGTATTGGTTGAGGATTGAGAAATAGCCCATCGTTGCCTAGTCTTTCTTCCTGTTGTGTCGTAGTTGCGGCTCCGCCTGACTACTGCAGCCTTCTCCACTGCTCAATTACAATTTAGAATCTACAAGTTACAATCATCAACCTCTCTGGGCTCCATTCTACATTGCAACCTCGTTTGCGAAAGATTTTTGGTGTTGCATCTTTCAAACCATGAGATAATTCGGTTTGATAAACCTTCTCCTCGCCCACCTGTTGGCTTGTCCCCGTGTCTTCGTCTGACTCGTCGCAGAAAACATCTGATCTACTCAATAGGCTTGTTACACGCGTCATTGCTCAACTTTCAAATGGCGTCTCGCAATGAGCGAAGCTCGTTGAAGCGTCGTCGAGTATGTACTTGCTCGTGTTTGGATTTTCTTGCTAGTGCTCTCGCTAATTGTCATGGATCCTACAGGAAAGCGAAGAGCAGCCGGGCATCACAAAGTCACAGAAGCCGCGACGTTCAGAACGATTGGCCTCTCAGACCGAGACAACAACGACAACCGTCACGAAGACCCCAGTCAAACATACATACCTCCCCACGCCTTTGACACACCATGATTCCACAGCTACGGATATACAAAAAGCCACGACCATCACACCCGAAGGACGTCATATCGCAAGTCCAGAAGAAAGCCTGCCAGTCTTTTCGTCTCCGCCTGGTGACACCCAAGCGCTTTCTCAATTTGTCTACCCACCGCGAGCTTTCGCAGACGATGTAGAAGATGAAGCTGCAGAAGGTGTCTGGGGTTATTTGATTCCTCTAGATGACAAGGCTGGACATGCTCTGGTGCTGAAGAAAAGGAATAGCTGTGACAGCGGCTCGTGCGGCCAGACCGATAGAGAAGCAACAAGTTCGCCCAGTCGGAGCTCGAAGAAGCAGTCAAAGACCTCTCAGAAGCAAGTCTCTGCCAAATCGCCAGGCTACCCCCCAGGTGGCTATCTGATTGGGCGTCACCCTGAATGCGGTAAGCTAAAATCATTACAAATCCCACGAAACATGAGCGCACTAACGTAATGTGTATATAGATCTTGTACTAGACATTCCAACCATATCTAATCGCCACTGCTTGATCTTCAATGAAACAAGAAACGGAGACGTCGTTGCTGTCATTGAAGATCTCTCCAGCAATGGAACCTTTGTTAACGAAGCTATTTTAGGTCGCAACAAAAACCGGGAGCTTGAGGATGGCGACGAGGTCACAATCATTGACGAGGCTCGATTCGTCTTCCGGTATCCTCGAATAAGGGACACCAGTGGTTTCCGCCAACAATATAGAATCCTTCAGCAACTTGGAAAGGGCCATTTTGCGACAGTTTACCTCTGCGTAGAACGTGCTACCGGTAAGAAATTTGCCGTGAAAGTGTTTGAAAGGCGCCAGAGTGAGTCGCAGAGGTCACAAGCCGAAGCTCTTCAACAAGAAATTGCTCTTTTGATGAGTGTCAATCACCCGAACGTTTTGTGTCTCAAAGATACATTTGACGAGCGCGACGGTGCCTACTTGGTTCTGGAACTTGCCCCCGAGGGCGAGCTCTTTAATTACATTGTGAGAAAGCAGAAGTTGTCCGAGAGCCAGACTCGTAAAGTGTTCCGCCAACTGTTCAATGGTTTGAAGTATCTGGTAAGCTAGCCTAGTTTATTGATACTCAAAAACATGGCTAATCCTCATTCTACAGCATGACCGGGGCATTGTGCATCGTGATATAAAGCCGGAAAACATTCTTCTTGCAGACAAGAACCTCCACGTGAAGTTGGCAGACTTTGGTCTTGCCAAAATCATTGGAGAAGACTCTTTTACGACTACATTGTAAGTTACTCTTCGATTGGCGAAGCTGTCCAGAGCTGACTGTGTCCAGATGTGGAACGCCGAGTTGTAAGTTTAGGAAAAGGTCCAGTAGAGATAATACAGGCTAATGATGAGACAGACGTCGCACCCGAGATTTTGGAAGAGTCCCGGCACCGGCGTTACACCAAGGCTGTTGATGTTTGGTCCCTAGGCGTGGTGCTTTACATATGCCTTTGTGGATTCCCACCCTTTTCCGATGAGCTATGTACTCCAGAAAGCCCGTACAATCTGGCGCAGCAGATCAGAATGGGCCGATTTGACTACCCCTCCCCTTATTGGGATTCCGTCCCGGACATAGCGTTGGATCTAATTGATCGAATGCTCACTGTGAATGTTGAGAAGCGAATTACAGTCGACGAATGTCTCGAGCACCCTTGGCTGACCGGCAAGTTCCCAAGCGTTGCTGACAGCACAGACGGTCTGACTGGAGCCATGGACCAACTCGATTTCTCCAGGCGAAAAGTTGAGCGCGAACGGACGCTGCTCAGTTCGATCGTCGATGTAGAGGTCCATGATGTCGTGCAAGACGACGACGAAGAAGTGAAAGTCTTTCGTAAAAACCCAGCCAACAAACAATCTCAGAACCATGTGCATCAGGGGCATGAGCCGAAACCGGGTGCGAACCGCCCGCTCGGTGAATTCGCTAACATGGGTGGTCGCGGAGACCAAGTCTTGTACGAAGATGGGACAAATACTCGCTCTCCTTCCAATGGTCACCTCAAAAATTAGGCCCGACTACGTGGCCTTCACTATTCTTATCCGAGAGAGAGATCATGGTGTTAATTGTTTCTATACTTACGTGCGTTGGAGGAGTCTACGAGGCAATCAGAGCCCGATATAAAAAGGAATGTCAAGAATTGGGGGGCGTTTGTTTGTGTATATCATTAGTGTTAGTATCTAGTCCCTTAGAAATGAACAGAGAACTGTCTATAACATGATTAATATTGGCGGCGATTGCATTGGACGGAGCGTTGGCTGTTCGTGGCGTGATTCCGGGTAGAAAATTAAGGACACACGCGCACTATGCCATTTGCGGCTAGTCAGGGCCCAGTTGCCCCTGGATAAGTAGGCAGCTTGGCGGGCTTCAATAATTTATTAGCACCAGTCCAGAATCTAACACACCTGGTTGCGTTGCTACACTTCTCATCAACCAGCGCTGCCTTGCAACCCTACAAAGACACGCTTTCTCCGTTCGGACGGACTTTCGACTGCTGACCCAAGCGATTGCTACTAAGCCCGTAACCAAAACTGTCATACATCATGGGGCTTTTCGCCGCCGCCCTCGACAAAGTCTGCCAACAATGCTCGACGCAGTCAATCTACGTGCTCGCTGGATTGGGCTTCGCCACGGTCATTGTCTTGAGCGTCGTGATCAACGTACTGGGTCAATTACTGTTCAGAAATCCAAATGAACCTCCTGTCGTGTTTCACTGGTTTCCGTTCATTGGCAACACAATCAGCTACGGTATCGACCCGTACAAATTTTTCTTCGAAAGTCGCAGTAAGGTACGCAGAGCTCATGAAACATGGAATCGCATCCGGATAAATTGACTAACTCACTCGCTGCGGACAGTACGGCGACATCTTCACGTTCATCCTACTTGGCAAAAAGACCACAGTCTTCTTGGGAACCAAAGGCAACGACTTTATCTTGAACGCGAAATTGCGCGATGTGTGCGCCGAGGAAGTCTACTCACCTCTCACGACACCTGTATTTGGCAAGCATGTTGTGTACGACTGCCCTAATTCCAAGCTCATGGAACAGAAGAAGGTGAGAAAATACCAAGACTAAGCCGTCTGCCAATAGCAAGTGCTTATTAGACGGTGATGATGCAGTTTGTCAAGTTCGGTTTGACCTCGGATGCGCTACGTTCCTATGTTGAATTGATCACCAAGGAAGTAAACGAGTACGTTGCGAACGCTAACGCCTTCAAAAAACCCCGCGGAACCATCGATGTCGGTAAAATCATGGCAGAAATCACAATCTATACCGCTTCTCGATCGCTACAAGGCAAAGAGGTTCGAGACAAGTTTGACTCGACATTCGCTGAATTGTATCACGACCTTGACATGGGCTTCGCGCCTATCAACTTTATGCTTCCCTGGGCTCCTCTCCCCCACAACCGCAAGCGTGACGCCGCCCAGAAGAAAATGGCAGAAACTTACATGGAAATCATCCAAAAGCGTCGTCAAGCGGGAGGAGAGAAGGATTCTGAGGATATGGTCTGGAACTTGATGTCTTGTGTCTACAAGGATGGCACCCCGGTCCCCGATATTGAGGTTGCCCATATGATGATCGCTCTGTTGATGGCCGGTCAACACTCTTCGTCTTCCACCATTTCTTGGATTGTTCTTCGACTAGCCTCGCAACCCAAGATCACCGAACAGTTGTACCAGGAGCAAATCCGAGTTCTAGGAGCCGATCTCCCCCCGCTTACCCATGAGAACTTGCAAAAACTCGAACTTCAAGCCAACGTCATCAAAGAAACTCTTCGTCTACATGCGCCGATTCATTCCATCCTCCGTGCTGTCAAGAGCCCCCTTCAAATTGAAGGTACTCCGTACGTCATTCCTACCTCCCACAACGTTCTCTCGTCCCCCGGAGTCACTGCACGATCCCCTGAGCATTTCTCCGAGCCTTTGGACTGGGACCCTCACCGATGGGATGGTGTCAAGGCCACCGAGGATGACGAGCAAATTGACTATGGCTATGGTCTTATCAGCAAAGGTGCTGGAAGCCCCTACCTGCCTTTTGGAGCTGGACGTCACCGTTGCATCGGTGAGCAATTTGCCTATGTTCAATTGGGTGCCATCTGTGCGGCATTGGTTAGACAGCTTAAGTTCACGAACTTGCCAAATGTTGAAGGTGTTCCGGCAACTGATTACTCTGTAAGTCCTTCGCCGACAATCACGATTACATACAGCTTGCTTACACATTCTCTTACAGTCATTATTCTCAAGACCCTGGGCGAACTCTGTCGTTCAATACGAGAGAAGAGATGCGACTACCAAGGCCTGATATGCCCAAGCTTTTATTAGCATGTCGTCTTCGCAGGAGTAAGGTACTTGTATGATTTTATTAATGTTGTTTCATCACGTTTCTCTATACATAACACCAGAATTAATATCAGGAAGTGCGTGCATTGCTATGTCTCGAGCTAACGCTGTGAGGCATATACATATTCAGGCGCTATTCTATTCTTGTATATCGTTCCATAACGAAATCATTTGAGATTTGCCTCAAGGACTGAGTATCTCCTGGAAATAGAACTTTTAATGCATAGAACACATGTATACATAATTGAGATAAATTTTTGCATTTTTGACTGCGTCCTTCTTCGCCACCTAGGAAGACAGTAGTAGAAACTCAAGCACAGTCTTCGTTCTATATTGACATTGGTAATTGAAAGAGGTAGCTAAATTTTACATGTTCTCTGATGGATAGAAACTCGAATACCGCAACGCAAATCCCGCTGACAGCCAACATAATGTACAGAATATCCCCATGACATGATAAAGTAGAGTAATGAAGTAGGCTCCAAAAGACCGCACAAGATTCTCAAAGTTTTTCTTTTCATACAGTCACACTTGTAAAAGGTGCGACTGGCTCAAGCGCCGGCAGCCCTTCTCTCTGCACTTCGCTTCTTTGCCCGAACCTCAGCACGTCGCCGCTCACCACCATCAACCTTTTGTCCGCGTCTATCCTCCCACATACCTTCTGTCGCTTTGATCAAAACCGCTGAGCCATTGGTCCCTTTCAATGCTTGAATGAAGGGTCCTTTCACCATGGATCCGTGAGTGATCTTCATATGGGCATACTTCTTGATCGCGTCGCTGGGCTTGTACTCGTATTTCTCCGCATCCGGTGCAATATTCACAATCACTTTTCGCATTCCAGGCGACAGTGTAGCGGATGCACCTGGCAACGACGTATTGACTTCCCCACCCTGCGTTATCGAGGATTCGACAGGAACCTCAACAACACGAAGTTGAGCGGCGCCATCAACGACAACATCCAAATCCCCGCCAGGGCCGTACATACCATGCTTGAATTTCTCGCGCTGCCTGAGTAGGTATCGTCGTTGTCTGGCCGGTTCGATTCCGAGTTCTCGTAGTTCTGCGGAGGAGAGAGAAAACAGACTGTCCCAGGAGGTGAATTTGCTGGCATGTTTGTGCATTTCGCGGCCAATCAGAGATAAGAATGTCGGTACATCAGGGACGAATGGCGTCGGTTGAGGGATTATGGGGGTTGCTCGTTTCTGATGAAGACATCTCACGCATTGGGATGTTGGTGTGGAGGTGGAAGATGGTGCGAAGGCACTGAGAAGGGTTTTCGAAGGATTAATGAGGCCGCCGAAACGGCGACTGGGAATGAACATGTTTGCTTTCGGTCAATTAAATCGACAACATCAATTGTCGTCAGTGTGATTGTCAGGGAGCGGTTTTGACGATTGCGTGAAGTAAGTATTGACAGACATTTTTTTGAGGCTATCCAATCGGCGCCAGTAAGGTTTGATGTCCCCTGGCTGGATCAATAATAGTCCGCCCCGCGGAGGTCGGAAACACCTCGAGCTCTCAATTAAAGATGGTTTACTCAACATAACCTCGGATCTCATTATTACATTGTTCTTCAAGCAATGATTTTTCGTTTTATGATATGACAGAAACATTCGAATCATCTTTTGTGGACTGAACAAGCTCCTTCAAGCTCCAAAAATGGCGGTATCACCTCTCACCTCACAATCTCCTGCCGGTGCTTTGGTCTCAACATCTACAGCTTCCAAGGCGAAAAGCCTTGCTGTCAGAAGTGGGAGCCAGGGTGCTCCTGCGTCTTCATTCCGCAATGCGACCGCAGCTTTGGGGCCGTCGGATCAGATGAACGATAATGTGAGGCGGAGATACGTCAAGGGTATGAACTGCCATACTAGTCCCATACCTTTTCTTGCGTATCTGATCAGAGAGACTAGACAAAAAACTCGGTGAGGGTACTTACGCCGTTGTCTATCTCGGTTACTTACGCGAAACGCCTTCGTCCCTTGTTGCTATTAAGAAGATCAAAGTCAACGCTGAATATCGAGACGGGCTCTCTATGGACGCCATCAGGGAGATTAAGTATCTCCAAGAGTTGTCCCACCCGAACATCATCGCCCTTCATGACGTCTTTTCTTCCAAGGATCAAAACCTCAATCTTGTGCTCGAATACTTGCCACTGGGCGACCTCGAAATGCTGATCAAAGATGGCAATATCCAATATGGCGTGGCAGATGTCAAAGCTTGGATGGGCATGCTTACAAGGGGTGTCTGGTTTTGCCATGAAAACTTCGTCTTGCATCGTGATATTAAACCGAACAACTTATTAATCGCGTCAGACGGCGAAGTGAAACTCGCTGATTTCGGTTTGGCACGGTCATTCGCAGATCCGTATATGAATATGACACATCAAGTTATCACTCGCTGGTATAGGCCCCCGGAGCTCTTGTACGGTGCCCGGCAATACTCTGCCGTGGTGGACGTATGGTCTATGGGTATGGTCTTCGCAGAGCTACTTCTTCGTGTGCCCTTTGTGGCGGGAAACAGCGACATGGACCAAATCGTCAAGATCAGTGAGGCATTCGGATCTCCGACAGAAGAGAATTGGCCTGGTGTCACCAGATTGCCTAATTACGTAGCCCCTGGGGACCGAACTACTCCTTTACAAGGGAGGGATTTTTTCTTACGTCAGTTTCCTACGGCCGGACCTCTCGGTGCTGATCTGTTGATGTCCATGACCACCCTTGATCCTCGTAAGCGGAGTTCGGCGCGCCAGATCTTACAGCATGCTTGGTGGAGAAGCGAGCCCAAGCCGACTCCTAAGGAATCTTTGCCACGGAAGTCGGGCGGCTCGCAAAAGATGGGTAGCGATCTCTCACGGCGAGCCGGAGAAGATACTGAGGGGCGGTTCAGAAACGCCGCTAGACAGCTTGATTTTGGGGTTAAATGAGCACGGTAATGACCATTGCAAACCATGTATGGTCTTTACAACATTCGCCTCGTCAATGTTATTTATTCAATGGCCTATAACCTGCTTGAGCTCGTTGGTTTCATGGAATACGATGCAGTCCCTGATTCAATAAACATATCGAAGGAACGTACAATTTTCGGCCGATAGGCGCGTCCAACCAATGAATGGCATACGCTGTTGGCCTGGGATCTCCGGGAAGAGTGAGGCCTTCCTTTCTCGTGTGATGCATTGATATAATTGGAGAAGCAGAGGCAGTGACATGAAGGCGAATTTTAGATCTGGCCAGGGGTTGCCGTTGTCATGTGTGCCGACTGGGTGGGCTGGACACGAATCGGCTCTCGCGTCAGGTTGTTCACTTCGCTCTGGGTCTATCGAATCATCTCCTCGGCCCTGTCCATAAGGTTGAAATATAAATTATGTATTAGAGAATCCGGACTTTTCACTTTCATGGTAGAGGCGAGTATACATAGAGCCGGCCGTTCTCTCTAAGCACGCTCGTGGTTACAGTTGGTGTAACAATCCCGCCGGGTCACGACGGGGAACGTTAGATTATTGACACCATCTCATCAATCGACGGGCAGAAATGGTCGCTAAAAAGAAAAAAAAAGAAAAAAAGAAAAAGAAAATACTCCGTCGGGAGCGAGCTGTTCTGTGGTATGAGAGGCTGAAAACGAGTGCGAGACGACGGAAATGAGATTCGATGTAATCTGTCGATCCGTCGACTTACTGCTCTGAGGGCTTCGCCAGACGCTACGTTATTCTGTAGCTTGCATTTTGCTTTCCATAGACATTAATAAATATCCTGTATTAGCAATGTGGGTGCTGGCTGTCCGTCCTTGAAAGGTGTTTTTCTGTCGATATTCGCGTCCTCCCGTGCGTTCTGGTAACCCCATGCGTGCATATGCCACAACAGCCATACTATGTACAGACAAGGCTGTCCATACTCGATGCTGGATTGGCGGAATCCCTACAGTTCTATTCGCCCGGCCAGGGATGGTGGTTCTTCTATTGTTGACAATGTCCAAGCCCCTTGTGGATATGCTAAGCTGGAGGGAGTCTAGCGACCGCGAAAATAAAGAGGGAAGGAGCCTATTAGCGCCCGCTCCTGCCAGTTAGCGCAGGAGTTTACCCCTTATGGTCCTTCCCTCGCTTTTTCTTGACTCAAGCTTGCTACTCAATCTAATCCAACGATTGATCATGTCCCATTGAAACCCACTCCCTCATCCACTGCCACAAAAGAGAACCGTCTCTTTGGTATTTCAGTCGAAGAGCACCGCGCATTGTTGCTGTATTGACATTTGCTTATCCTACGACCATCTGGAGATCCGCCCACGATAAGCAGCAACGCTTGGATCTGTCTGACGTAGCGCAATCACCCCAGCGCTCCTCTTGTCTGCGTGGTCGCGCAGCCAGTTTCATGTTGGCAAGGCATCTATAGGGAGAAGAGATCATTCGATCAAGTTCGTCGCTTTCCTAAAGTTTCGAGTCTCGAATATTTGTTGTGATGTAAGTGAATTTAGAATCTGCCCGCATCTGCAGCTTTGACAGCAAGGAAGAGACGTGCCTGTTCATGAGAGAGATTTCTCGGGCATGAAGTTGGGCCACTCAATATACAATTGCTTCTGCTCCTTTTTCCTATTAATTCTAGGTAGTCTATGGTGGCGGGTCAATTAAAGGACGGTTTGCTGATCAGACATCAGATGATTCAGTGAATATAGAACTTCGGTGAAGGCCTCCTTTCGGCAAAACCCGTCAATCTCTAAATTGATCAATGGACTGAGTCATATCCGAGCTTTTCGTCGTCACCAAGGGTTATACAAACACACAAAGAATTGGCAGACACCATGACCACTCAGTCCGCCCTACCTCGATCGTCGAGCCAAGCGAGCAATGCACCGACTGGCAGCTTGTCTTCGCTTCCTCCGCGAAAATTGAAACCGTTGTGTACCGTTTCAGATTCCCAAAGAAGCGCGTCGCCTTCACCCTCCAAGCTTCGCCCGCCTACAAGACCTTCTCTAGGCGGAAACAGTCATCCGAACTCTTCCATGCGTTCCGTCTCGGGCACAACAACCCCAAATGGCACCGACAGGAGTTTGCGAAGATCTGTCAGCATAGCAGCCTTCCCTCAACCTCCCAAGTCGAGCGGCAGATTATCGATGGCCTCGATATCAAGTTCGACTTCGCATGTTCCATCGACAGCGCGCAGTACCCCGGACATTACCAAGTCAGGTACAATCAAACCCAGAAAACAGTCAAGACTCAGTTCAGCAACCACTGCAAGCAATCGTAGTTCAAAAGCGGTTTCTCTTCTCGATCACGGCAGCGACGGAAAGACGGTCCTGAATGCGGCAGTCAGCAGAGACTCTGAAGGCCAATTCAGTAGCTCCTCCCCGCCGCACAGTAGGAGCTCCTCAGCGCAGGGCTCATATTCAACAAGCGCGACGACATTTGATGATACGGAGGAGACAGAGCACGACTCCAAGGACGCCTTAGGAGCGGGCAAGAAGGTCGCCCGACCTAAAGAAGCCAAGGGCAATGTCATTGTCAGTGTGCGAGTACGACCGGATACCGGCGCGAACGAAAACTCGCGTGCAGAAGAAGAATGGATGGTCGACGGCCGAAGGTCACTGATATCCTTTCGAGGAAAGGAGAGCTACGATTATCTTTATGGTAAGAATTCACGGACGAGACATTTGCTGTATTTACATTCTAATGACTTCTAGACAATGTTTTTACCGCACATGACAACAATTCCAAAGTCTACGATTCGTCGGCTAAGCGACTGGTCAGGAGAGTCATGGAAGGCTACCATGGAACTGTTTTTGCTTATGGGATGACGGGTACCGGAAAGACATTCTCCATGCAAGGAACCGCCTCATCGCCCGGTGTCATCCCATTGGCCATTACGGACATCTTTTCATACATTCGCGAAACCCCTCATCGAGAGTTCCTGCTTCGCGTCAGTTATCTCGAAATCTACAATGAGAAGATACACGATCTGCTCTCGGCTTCGAGTGCGGGTGCAACCGGACCCAATGCGCCTCCACAAGAGGAAATCAAGTTGCGTGAAGACAGTAAGAGAGGTGTTTATGCGACACCGTTGAAAGAAGAGATTGTGCAAAGTCCAACCCAACTTCTTCGTGTCATTGCTCGTGGAGACCACGCACGTAGGACAGGCAGCACCCAGTTCAATGCGCGGAGTTCTCGAAGTCATGCCGTTGTCCAAATTGTGGTGGAGAGTCGTGAGCGAGTACCAAGCGGCAATTCCACCCAAGACAAGCGGTCTGCAGTGGGTCCAGGAGGTGTACGAGTCTCAACCCTGAGTCTGATCGATCTTGCTGGTTCTGAGCGTGCTGCAGAGAACAAAGAGAGGCGGACAGAAGGCGCCCACATTAACAAGAGTCTGCTTACATTGGGAACGGTCATCGCGAGACTATCAGAGAGTAAGGAGAAATCGGCTAATGCAGCGGATAAGGAAGGCAAGCATTTGCCTTATCGTGATAGTAAGTTAACACGGCTACTGCAGCCAGCATTATCGGGAAATTCATTGGTCAGCATTCTCTGCACAATACAAATCGGCGCATCCGGTAGCGCTGCCCCTGCCAACACACACACAAACGAAACACTCAACACGTTGAAATTCGCTGCCAGAGCAAAGAACAATATTGTCAGTCATGCCAAACGAGCAGAAGAGGCGTATGGAGGAAATGGAGACGGCGGGAGTAGAGTATTGTTGGAAAGGTATCGAATGGAAATTCAAACCCTGCGTGCTCAATTGGAAACGCAAAGCAAAACCCAAGCAGAAAGTGACATGAAGATGGAAGAAGAACGAATGGAGAAGGAAGCTGAAGCTCGCCACGAAGAGCAAATGCTCGAGATGCAACTAGCTCGAACTGCTCTCAAGGAGCGAATCGAGCATCTAAACCGACTCATTCTTTCTTCCAAGTCCACTGGCGTCAATAGCCACAGTGGCACCGCTGTCTTTGATCGCTTGTCAACCATCTCTGGAATGAACGACACACGTACACGCTCGCTATACTCTTCTTCGAGTCAATCTACCCTTGGCGCGAACTCATTGCGACGGACTGTTTCGCAACAGTCTTTGCACAGTACTGACCCTGGTAGCGCATATCAGTTTCGACGTTCCTCAATGGTGCCGGATGAGGATGACGACACCGTTGGTGAATTCGGTGATGGAAATGCCAGCCTACAAATGCAATTGACTGCGTTACAGGCCGATTTGGCGGACAAGAATCGGTACATATCCACGCTCGAACGACGACTACTTCAAGCGAGGCGCTCAAGCCATTCGAGAATGTCAATGGGTCTGTCACAAATGAAGAACGGTGATGACGTTGACATAATGGCGTTGCTACGTGAAAAGGACATGGAAATTTCCGAGCTACGTATCCAGCTGGACGACAAAGACAGGATGCTCACTGCTCTGCGTTCAGCAGCCCGTCAGCGCGACGTTGCTCAAATGAGCATCGATATCCCAGGACAGGACAAGCGAATTATTGGCCATCAGACCAGCGGTAGCAATGCCAGCTCACTTGCCAGCCCTCTTAGTGCCACCAGTCCTGTCAACACCCTTTCACTCGCCAGTATTTCAGAACGAGAGGTCAACTCCAACAGAAAGAGTGTTGATGAGGTGTCTCGCATGCTTGATGAGATGATACAAGACCGTGTTGAGCAAGGTCATCTGAACAAGAATTCTCGTCGAAGCCTCTTGTTTGCGAGTGGAGCAACCAACCAACCAGACCCAATCTCACCCAAGCCACCTTCTATCAACCTTCCTGACCCGCGAACTTCTATCATTGAAGTGCCAGAAGATGTATAATGCAGCCATCCGTTCATCTAACCATTCAGCCTCGACAAACTTCGTATTGATATTATGAATATTCCCTTTCATCCGATACACGGAGGATATGAACTTCTACCTTTGTTTTCGGCCCTTCATTTTTTTTTCCTTCTCGGCTCGACTATTTACTATCGCACGGCGCTTGGGATTCTGTTTGATAAATCAATATTATGTTGAATCCGGCGAAGTCTCTCGGGATGACTGCACATCTATTTTCCCATGCATATCTGGATTTCCTTTTGAAGTTTTGGTTGTTCTGTCGCGCTCTGTCATTGTATACTCTTACCACGCTGCCACGATCTCGATATGGGTTGTGGCATGCCTATCTAATGCCTTTATTTTTCTCCTCCCTTTTCCTGGCCGGGTTGCCGGCTAGCTTTCTGATACCCCAGGTTTCTTGTTGAATGTGTACGTTATCATGACTCTGGAAATTGGATCTGTGTTTGCTTGTCTTAGCATCAGGGTAGCATTGATAGATGGGGATCATACGCCGATGAAACTCGAGCAGTCGAGGAATGTAAGCCGTGACAAAGAAGGACGTAGTTGGATCGCTGACGAAGGGAGTTGGCCCCTGACAGGCTGACACTAGCGATAGTAGTGAATCGTAATACTTAAAGAGTTAAGAGTGACCAGCAGAGCCCCTCCCGTGTTTCATCTTGAGAGTCTTCCGGCCACTCACATCGGCTCTGCTTACAGCGCCACCTCTTTTTCTGCCGCTCCGTGAAACATCCAACGGCGATTTCGCCTTTGCATCAGTTTTCAAAACGCCTTGCGTCTGGCTGTTGCTTACTGGCAAACATGTTTATAACCCTCCTTCGGGCCCGCTAGTGGCTTACAGCGTTACATACTACTTGACTGCTGATGTATTTTGATCTGTCGTTGTTCGTGACTTTCTTTGGGTGTTTTTTCCTACTACACCTACAGTAACCTTTGCCTGGCTGCAGGGTCCGCTGTCTAATTTCTCCCGATACTGTTTCTTGACTCGAAGTTGAAAGACAAAGATTTACACAGTCATTCATTCCTCTTTGAAATCGGCAATTCGCCGATGGTCGAGAACTACTTCACACCATCGCGTCACGAGACTTTCCTTTATCAGGCTTGACTATTTCTTGGTCTCAGAGGAGCTGTCATTGACAGTGGTTGAGCAATTTCCATGGATCATCATCCTCAATACTGACTTCGGCTACTATCCAAGTCGTCCAGATCAAGAGCCGCATCCGTACAATCTCATCGCTTGTATACGGCTACTCGTCTGCAGTCTGTCAACTCAGAGATCACAGACTATACGTGAATAGACTCAATTGAGACTCTACGTTGAATGGTGGCCTGCGATCGTCATTGTCTACAGACCCAAAGATGATCATCTCATCTCGGCAAAACCCGCCCAAGATGTCTTTTCGACGAACAGCTGCACACTCTCCGGCACTCACCTCGAAGAACAACTTGTTAGTTCCTCTCATCGATTCACCATTGCCATCCCCCGTTCTCCCGTCAATTGTTCCAAGCCATGGCAAAAGACCCCCGGGTGCCGGGAAACGCAAAGCGTTTCGCTTATTCCGCTTATTAGCCGTGTGCGCCATAATAATCATCCTCATACGCACGCATTTATCTCAACCATTGCGTATACTGGGTCTCGTCCAGAGGTGGCGTATTGATGACAGAAACTATCAGCTGCCCTCTACTCTACCGGTTACAGCGTCTCCTGTTATAATGACTAACGAGCAGGGCCGTCGGAAATGGACCGTACATATTCCAGCTGGCATGGAATTTCCCTTATCTCCGTCGCAGATAGGAGACTTGAGTTCCCAGTGCTTTCAAACGTCTCAGCAGGTTTCTGATGGCAAATATCAGCCTTTTGATTATTCTCGATCCGATCCAAACTTTATAGACATCACCGACAGACAGGTAGCTAGACAGGTGACAGGGTTACTCTCTACCGAGCAGACTGTCATCCAGAAGAGATCAAATCCGTACTGTGATAGAAGTCTTACATTCGTCATGCAATCTGAAGATGCAGGTCTAGGAACCACTCTCATGAACTTGTGGATAAGCTATGGGCTTGCACAAAAACAAGAGCGCAGTTTTTTCATTGATGATACTAATTGGGCTTATGGAAAGTTTTCAAAATACTTCAAATCGCCTCCGAAACCCAAGTGTCGTCAACCACCACCAGCATGTAGACTGCCTTGTCCTCTTCAGACACGACATCTCGTTGTGTCTTCATCCAATGCGCCGTGGATATTCGGAGAAAGCTTCAAAAATTTCTTCAAGAGTCCTTTTGCCCTGAGTGAAACCCGGCAAAGGGAAATCTTCGAAATGGCTCGGAGTGGCTATGAGGCTCTTTTTCACCTTGTTGGCGATGATGCTTCGTATTTACATCAGCGCATCCAAGGACTTAACAGAGATGTCCGGTCCAAAGGTGGCATTGCAATCGGTATTCATGTTCGCCATGGGGACTCGCACCCACTTGAACCTCAATATAAAGACTCCTATATCCCTCTCGATGTATACGCGAAGCGTACTAGCACAATATTCCATGCTCACTTGCAGCAAGCGCATGGGGATACTGCATTGTCTCAATCTATGGCATCACATTCAAAAGTCATGCTAGCTTCTGACGATCCCGAAGTATACGCTTCATTCGAACTGGGTGGAGCAGAGAGAGCTCAGAGCTATATTGCTCTAGCAAGTAAGTCAGCCCTAGACGCTGCAAGTCACGGGGGTCAATCAGGTGACAACGTCGGCTGGGAGGGAGGGTTCTTCCAGGACATGTTCTGGTCTCTCGGCGTGGAAGCAAGTGACTACTCAGAGCTTGGAGGTCCTGTTCCATCGAATCGAGGACCAACGGAGCCAAAAACACTTAGTGTCGAGAGCGTCGCTGAACAGCGTCGCCTACGCCCCTCTAAAGAGTCACTGCAGGTTCGGGAATGGATAGGTCGTGCATACCTCCTAGACGTGGCAGTCTTAGGTCAAAGTGACCGAGTCATATGCGATGTGAGTAGTGCATCATGCCGACTGTTAGCTGTGATGATGGGCTGGAATAAAGCCATCACACATAAGTCATGGCAAAATATTGATGGAAATTGGCGCTGGTCATTCGTCGTCCCTTAAATAGTCTAGTGCTATGTATAGTTGAAATTTCGAGTCACTAATATAGATTAATAATCACTAACGTACAAGACTTCTCCTTTAACGCCCTATAAGTACGCATATCTGGAGTGATAATATGAACATCAACGTTTGTACAGGTAGAATCAGGTATAAACCACACAAGTGAAGATATCAACAAACGCCACAAACAATTATAATGGCCTATGTATAGACTTGTCATCATATATTATACGTGTTCCATCAACGAACCGATCATTCTCCATCATGCAACGATCTCAAGTTCAGAGGTGCGGTTCGTTGCATACACATCCTTCCACTCATCCCACAGCCGGTTCAACTCCTGAACATATCTACCATGTAATTCGTTGATGTAATCCTCATCAACCTTGTCCTGATGGCGCTGCCTGATTACTTCAATGGGTCTTCCAACAACGACATTGAGCGGTCTCCGATATGGCATTAGGCCAACATCGTAATTGAAAACACCTCGCGCATGAAACAGTGGTACGGTAAAGCCCATGAACTTCTTGATCAGCATCTGAATCTTATGTATAAATGGATGCTGTTCCGAGTCGACTTGTTCGTACAAATCGTTCTCACCGAACCCGAGAACCGGGACCAGATCAGCCCCCGTACGCGCAGCTAACTTTACGAAGCCCTTGCGACTGTTGAGAATGAGTCGAATACTGCCCGGTTGCGCATCGAGTGATTCGCGCGCACCCCCGACGACAATTGTGATTGCTCGCCCCATTCCTTCCCCATTAGTGCCGCCTTTGGTCAATAGGTTCTCGCATGATTCGCGCGACACACTGGCCAGTCCCATACCCATGGCATATTCCCTGTAAAATGGTATTCTAAAATTAGAGTCCAAAGTGAGCAGGGTATTCGTGATCCCCGGGAACAACTTCGAGAAGCCGAGGGCTTCCGTAGCAAAGGCGCCAAAAGCGCCGTGAGAAATAATTCCATGTGGATGATATCCGAAGATATATTTTCGAGTGTTTGGTAGTTCTGCTGTACGATGCAATTTAGCGGGAAAGTAGGAAGCGTATAATTTCCAGGCTCGGGAGCCGCGAAGCCATTGTCTGCGTCGTAATGTTCCGGATGTCGCCGCGTTGGAGAAGAGAATATAGACGAGGTAGGGAACAAGCAGAGGCCAGAATAAGGGCATTGCACAAACGAAGAAGAATAGTGTCAGGCATATGGCCATTGTCAATGTATGGTAGAGAACAACGAAGGTCTGTAGCCGTCTTTCGAGACCGATGTTAAGAGGGGCCCATCGAATTCTAACCCCCGGAGAGTTAGCAATTTGACGGACAGATTGTGCCTAAATCATGAAGGACACTTACCCATGCTTTTCAGATGTACCATTTCTCTGGACGTTATAAGAGTTTGCGACGCCACTGCGCTGGGCCTTACTGTCCCGCTCAGCGAGAGCCATGGTAGAGTAGTTAGTAGAAAACGATAAAATATGAGGGAGCAAATGACATGGCAATTATTAATCAAGCGCAAAGTTCAAGCGATGCGAGCGATTTGGTGGTAATCCAGGGAAGAATATAAAAGAAAATGGAGTGCAGGAGTCAGTTATAGATCCAAGCCATGTGAACTGGAACAATGACGTTGCCTGCCAAGACTAGCAGCCTCGACGATAAGGCGGCATATCGGAGCACACTAAAATGACCAGAATGAAGAGAAAACATGTCTATCAATTTATTATCTAGAGATAACTTATATATCCAAGTCCTCCTTTCTATATACAAGTAGAATGTCTTGTCCTCTGCTCTCAAATGGCAGCAGCTATGGTTATAATGCAGTAAGTCGTAGGTAATCGCTGAAAATATCAAGCTTTGATCATGAAAATCTAGTCCAATGTCAGCACTCATGCTCGAGATTTGTCTTTTTATAGAGTCGCGGTGAATACTTACTTCGCCTAATGACCGTTCATCCATAATAGCCATCCTCTTCTGTTGGATGTGTCGGCCACGAATAGCATGTCTCCAATTAGGCCGAGGGGCTTGTGAGCTGATAATGTCTTGCTGAATGGTCTTCTTGTTAACCTCTTCGTCTGAGCTTGATGAGTCCGAGCTTTCGCTCTCCACGTCCTTCTCAGTACGCCGTCGCTTCTTGGAGCTGCCCTTCTTTCCTTTCTTCTTTTCCTCTTTCTCTCTCTTCTTCTCTCGTTTCTCCCTTTTCTCTTTCTTTTCCCTCCTTTCCTTCTCTACTTTTTTCTTTTTGACCTTCTTATTAGATTGATCTTTCTTCGCTTCTGTCTCATTCTTCTTCTTTCGTTTCTCTTTTATGTCCTTTTCGTCCGTATCTTTGCTAGCTTTCTCGGATTGCAGAATTGACCCTTCATTTTCAATTAGAGCAGAATCGGCGTCCGCACTGTTATCCCCTGACTCGTCGGAGGATGTCTGGTCCGCGACGATTACATCGTTCGGTGAGCCGCGTTCCTTTATGGTTTTCGGCTTCAAGGCATCATCGGGCTTCTCTTGGACCAGAAAGCCGCCACTGATGAAAGTAACAGCTTGCCATTTCTGTGATGCGTACACAGCCAGCCTTGTATCATCGCGCTTGCGTTGCTCTTGTTCCAGCTGCACGTCGCTCTTTCCATTCAACCGACCCAAGAGTCCCTGAAATGCATCTATTGCAGCCACCTTATCGTTTCCTAGTGTCGGAGCACGAGCACCAAGTCCAAGTGTGTCGTCTTTCAGCGTCACTCGGATGTGAGATGCACTAGCCGCCGTGAAGGTGTCGAAATGATTGGCGTTACGAGCACCTAAGTAACTCCCGGGCGTCCAGCCTTGAGAGGTCATTATCTTGTGGCCGAAGCCACTAGTTGACTGGGCCCATGTTGTGTTGTTGGGATCGTGCGATAACTTAACCCTCCTACCGATGATTGCATGTGATTAGAAACTTGTGTCAATGGTCGGTGTGAATGGGATACTTACTTGCGAGGGGCGGCGAGACCCATGGAGAATTATTGAATCCAAATTGAAAGTCAAATGTATGCATCAAATTGAGAATTCGAGAGAATCGGGCTAACCCAGTAAGAAATCTGCGGCTGTGGTCATTAAGGATATGGTTTTTTTTTCTCGTAGGCAGGCAGTCTTATCGGAAATACCACGCCATGCCTCTTTTGGAGTAGCCTCGTCACATGACACATGGTCCTCCAAATTCTTAGTCGATCCATAACATCAGCCTATCTTCTCCTTCATACAGACACTCCTGTGTAATAGCTTCATCAGCTCTCAAACACTAGTCTTCTTTCGTCAGTGGAAGTTCTATGGCAGACTAGTCATATCCAATATCCTCTTAGAATTCTCACCCAGCCAAATCAGGGCATGACCGGGCGGCGTTATCGATAAGCACCCACCACAGTACGTACAACAGCCATAAACAAGAACTTAAATGTTTTCCTTTCCCCAAGACCTGAGCTCGAGATCAGATTGAGTCCTTGAGCTTGTACCATGAGCAATGTCAACTTTGCGTGTGCTTTGTCGAGATCAGCCTCGGCGATCCATCGCACTCGTTACGGACGAATGTGTTCTTGAAATCACGCAGCCCAATGTAGACTACGGCCGCAATGGGCCTACCGCAAAACATCACGACACGAACCGGTGTCTCCTAGAGGCTTTTTTTCGCTCGTCCTCAGATCTTCAGGGGTATCGACTTTTGGGAGAGGGCTGGGGCACTCTTGGATTGATTTCTTTGAATCACGACGTCTTCATCTGTGTCGTAACCAGCTCTTCTCGGGCAGCTACTGTGCGACCCGGAGAGACAGTCTTGAAAATTGAAAACGTCGATTTTTGTCCGTACTCTCCCCTTTAATGAAGCAATCTGTACGAAAAGCAAACTACTAATTTCGTGTAGACTGTCTAAACCGGTCAGATTATGAATACGGGGAAGAGTATCAAGCTTCATCGCGTTTCGCCGCCGAAGACATCGGCTCTGAGGATCTTCATGATATCAAAGACGTAGTCACCGATCATCCCTTTATAGCTCTTAAGAAGCTATTCAGTGACGGCAGCTTCTATTATAGTCGCGATTTCAATCTTACCGAGCGTGTCCAGGACCGGTAAGCGCTAGGAGTTAAATGTTTCGATTTAGCTTTAGCTAATGCAGTCTATCAGGTCGACCACTTCATCTGTCATTGATATTGATGGCCTGAATCAAGATATACTTTGGAATTCCTACATGATAGACCCCCTGTTAACTTTCCGCAGTCGTCTGTCCACGCACGAACGGGAAAAACTTGACAATTCTCGTATTCTGACGTCGGTAATAAGAGGATTTGCCGGTACATTGGCAATACCAGCCGCTGGACTTCGAATATCGCATATAGCTTCAAATCTACCGTCAAGCTTGACTGTCATATCCCGTTTATCTTCTCGTCGGGCTGGCACTAGATTCAATTCTCGAGGAATCGACGATGATGGAAATGTTGCAAATTTCGTTGAAACCGAAACGATTCTATGGAGTCCCCCAGGTTTCACGTTCTCTTATACGCAGGCGCGAGGCTCCGTACCCATCTTTTGGGAACAGACACCTGGCCTCATCCCTGGTCAGCAGAAGATTGAAATCTCTCGCTCATTTGAGGCAACACAGCATGCCTTCGACAGACATTTCGATTTCCTGGAATTGAACTATGGTGCAGTCCATGTCGTCAATCTTCTTAGTGATACGAAGAACAGTGAACTAAGTCTGTCTTCGGAATTCCGTAAGCACGTTGCAAAGAGATCCGATGGTCATCATAATGGCTCTTCGATGTCCTTCGATCATTATTTACTCCGAATGACCGACTTCGATTTTCATGCAGAGGCGAGGGGTCCGCTTGGCTACGAAGTGAGCAGTCAAATATATGAAATACTCAAGCGTGCTCTTGACGGGTTCGGCTACTCCCTGATTGAGACTGGCAATGACGAAAAAAAGTCATCTCTGCCGAGTCGCAATCGCGAAGTGCCTCGGGTGATTTTGCAACAAGAGGGCATTTTTAGAACCAACTGTCTTGACTGCCTCGATAGGACCAATCTTGTCCAAACCATCATCAGCTTGATGGCGCTAGAAATGTATCTTCACCAACGTGGGGGCGACATGGTACCTGAAATTCGAATGAAGCATTCAACACTGTGGGCTGATAACGGAGACGCACTATCAAAAGTTTATGCTGGTACTGGTGCTCTCAAGTCATCATTCACGAGACACGGTAAAATGTCATTGGCCGGTGCCTTTGCGGATGCGCGCAAGAGCGCCACTCGTCTTTACGTCAACAATTTCGCCGACAAGGCTAGACAAAATACTATCGATATTCTACTTGGCCGTTTGAGCACCCAAGTGCGCGTTGAACTCTATGACCCAATTAACGACGTTGTCACGGCAGAACTCGAGCGTCGAGCCGAAGAGTATACATCATCGAGGAACATCAAAATCTGGGTAGGTACTTTCAATGTCAACGGTAAAGGCGAGGGTACTACAACAGACCTTTCGCCATGGCTCCTATGGATGCGTGAAAAGGGTGGTGACAACCCGGCTTTGGTAGTTGTTGCGTTTCAGGAAATAGTCGAACTCAGCCCTCAGCAAATTATGTCAACTGACCCAAGACCGCGGATGACCTGGGAAAATTCAGTGAAGAACTGCCTCAATGGGTATGCTGATCGCATGGGAACAAATAGATATGTGCTGCTGAGAAGTGGTCAACTAGTCGGTGCTGCATTACTCGTTTATGTTCGAGAAGATGCTCTCGGTGATATCAAAAACGTAGAGGGTAGTGTCAAAAAGGTAAGTCCACCAATTCCAGTGTTCTACCTACACACGCTAATTATTATATGGAGACTGGCCTTTCAGGAATGGCGGGAAACAAGGGGGGTTGCGCTATACGTCTTGAGTATTCGAACACCAAGATCTGCTTGGTGACTGCCCATCTTGCCGCAGGGTTTGCGAATTATGATGAAAGGAATAAAGACTATGCAACGATTAGTAATGGCTTGAGGTTCCGATATAATAAAACTATTGAAGACCACGACGCTATCATATGGCTAGGTGACTTCAACTACCGCATCGGGCTTGATAATCAAGAAGTGCGGCAATTGATCAAAAAGAACGAGTTCGGTAGATTATATGAACATGATCAGGTTGGTTGGGCTAGGAGACCATTACGTTCATCTCCTCCAGAACTTGCTGCTAATTTATGTGTCTAGTTGAATCTTCAAATGCTAGCAGGGAGAACATTTCCATTCTACTCTGAAGGGTTAATAAAGTTCGCTCCTACATATAAGTACGACCTAGGAACCGACAATTACGATACCTCGTGAGTAAGGATGACTGGAAATGCAAGTGCTTGTTCTAATAAATCAATAGAGACAAAGGTCGAATACCAGCATGGTGTGATCGAGTGTTGTGGAGAGGAGGAGGCTTGAAACAAATAGATTATGCCGCCGCTAATATAAAGACGTCGGACCACAGACCTGTATCGTCTCTGTTTGACTGTACAATTAGCATAGTCGACGAGGGCCAGAAAGACAAGCTAAATCGCATACTGTACGATCGGCATCGTGCTGAATTTGGTGCCATGATCTCCAAGGGCGGTTTACTGGAAGACGAGGACGAAACTGATGGTCCTTTCGCCAATTCCCAGGGACTACCACCGGCAAGTTCGGATCGCCAAAAGTGGTGGCTTGACAATGGTAGGGGTAATTCGTTCAATCAGCCCGTCGTGCAGTTTTGCTAATGGGATTCGAGGCTCTGGGGCTCGTTCGGATATCGCACCGTCTGTGCAAGGAAATGTGCCAAATATTGTCAGCAGATCAAACCCATTTATCCAAAGCGAGGAAGACGAATGGGTTAAGCCTCAAGTTTTACTCCAAATCACAGAATCCAAGGACCATTCTAGAGCGGCGGTGGCAGATAGCTCAACGAGTAAACCTCAGCGACCACGCAAACCTGTTGCACTAAGTCAACCGGTTTCACGGTCATCGACAGCCCGGACAGAGGCTCAACGCGATGGTATTGGCATCATTGGTGATGGGGGTGGAGAGCCTAAACCTCGATTACCTCCCCGCCCACCTACATGGCAAACGGCTGAACACAATTCAACGCAACCCACTGAGCGAAGTGCCACAGCAATGCATGCTTCTACGAACCTGCTCGATGAGATGGATCCTACAATGGATAAGTGGAAACCGTTGCTCCCACGCCGTTGATCGCTGAACGGTCGACTGTATATAATACTTGATCCAGAGCAGGTGGAATCGCAAGAATACCAATGAACATCGAGGAGATATCAGTACATTGACTTTCTAGAATAAAATCAGACCCCTGGTGATGCTAAACCATGGAGGGTAGTATCAATAAAGTGATTTGATATTACATATCCAGTCCAACTATGACTGTCTCATTTATTTTCAAGGTGGGCTGCACGTAAAAACGCGGTATTCCTCTTTAAAAAAAATGAGAGCGCCAATGATAGACGTAAGGAACTTCAGCATGACGAAAGGAACAATCAGCTTACCAAAAAGGAAAAATAATACCCGATGCGGGGCTCGAACCCGCAACGTTCAGATGCCTCGAAAGATAAGAGTCTGACACTCTACCGATTGAGATAACCAGGCAGTTGATCTGTCGGGCACAAATTTAGATTCATGAATCCAATGACAAATAAAGCTTAGTAGAAGTTATGGCACAAATGGGCTTCAAGCTACAGTTGTTACGAAACCAAGTTGCACGATACTAGGCAGAATCTAGTATTATTAAGGGAAGGTACTTGTTATAGCAGCTAAAAGTATATCTAATTATTTTTATAATTTATTATATAAATACTTAGCTAAAAGAAAAAAAGCCTATTTTAATTATAAGATATTAAGATATTTTATAAATAAATGCTGTAAGCTAAAGAAGTTCTAAGGAATAGCTAACTAAGAAATTTAATAATAAATTATAATAGCTATCTATATATATACACCTAATAAAAGTAACACTATAGAAATATCTAAATTAGATAATAAATTATCAGAATAATATAAGAAAAGAATATAATAGTAAATTGAAAAATATAATAAGCACTAGAAGAAAAAACCTAAGTATTTATAGATATATATAAGGATACTTACTATATACTTTTAAGAAATAAATAAAGCTATAAGATACAGAGAAAATAAGTATCTATAATAATAAAAGAATCTATAGAAATAAAAGAATTTAATAAAAGTATTAGTTATAAAGATTTCTTATTGATTAAATCATTTTATATTTAATTATTATTATAAGATAGTAACAAAAACGTATTAAAATTAGCTAGTTTGAACTAAGAATAATAAAAATCTTATCTAGACCTTATCTAGACCTATATTATTATTATTATTATTATTCATATTTAACATCTATATATAACCTTATAGGTTATGATAGACACATACTGGGTAAAGCCCTAGGCCCTAAGACCTAGAGGCTTACCCCTAAGAGTTCCCAATAGTATATTAATCTAGGCCTTAATCTCACCCCTATACAACACATCTACTAGGGACTTTTAAGCATACTTATAAGCCTCTATATTTATAAAAATCCCTTATAGTTTCTAATATAAGAGTACTTCTAATGAGTATTAGCTCTAGTAGCTATATTTAAGTATTAAAATATTTATCTTTTATTCTACTCTCTTATTCTCTTACTCTTTTAAAATTTTTTATTTTTATTAGTCCCCTAGTTCTACTTTTTTAATACTCTAAGTATTATTCTTAAAAAGATTAATATTACTAAGAAATTAAAATAGTACTAATATAGCTCTAGATTTATTAAAAAAATATATCTTTAGAATATTCTTTATTACTATAGATAAAAGGACTTTAATATTAATAAATTCTTAATAAAAAACTTTTTTAAACTTAGAATATTTATAATATTTAAAAAAAATATAGAAAATTATTTTTTTTAATATATTATAGATTCTATACTTTAAGGAGTTTTAAATACTAATTTTATATAAATATAAGTTTATTAAAGTATATTTAGTTTTTAATTAATAATAATAGCTAGCTAGATGTTTCAGCATTTTTCTAATAATTTTATCTAATATTTATTTTTATAATATTCTATAGACTCTTTCTTACTAGTAAATTCTTTAAATAATATTTTTATA